TAAAAAAAAAAAAAAAAAAGAATAGTAACAGAATGGTAGCTTTTCATAAATTTAAATTACACAATTATACATAATCATGTAATATACAAATTATAACTTTTCAAAAATATTAATAGTAACAAAGTTTCTTTAATATTAACAAATATTAGAAACCTATCTGTTAAATACAGATAATAAATCAATATATTTCAGTGTTCAATTATATTTGTAGCATTTATATTATAGTATTTCATTTAAGAGAAATGATATAATTAAATAATACTTGTATTAAATTTGCATAATTTATAACAGATGGTGATATTTTATATATATTGTAGAATTTCAATTTAAATATAATTTAGATTTATTTTTAATTCATATGATACTTATGAACTTATTATTTTATTTCAAAAGAAATAATTGAGTATCATAGTAAAATATATTCCAATAATATATATCAATATCAATGATACAAAATAATGAATTAAAATTAACATTTACATTCTATAATCTTATTGTGAAGCAATTTATTGTTAATAATTAATAATTTCTTAATACTTAAATTTATTCTTCATTTGTAAATATCTAAAAAGAAATAATTAGAGAATTAACTTTATTAATATATCAATTGTGTAAATTATAATTTGAACTAAATATCATTTATAATCTTTTCCACTTTGAATATTGCATTATACTTAAGTTTTGGTATAAAATATGCTTTTCGTTACTTATTTAAAATTTTTCAATCAATCTAATTTATGCTATCTGTTTAGAACTTTATACCAGGATTGGCTTAAATGGAAGCTATCAGATTTTAATTGTGCAACTAATCTCTACTAAACTACAATATCACTATGTAGGCTATAATATTGTTACATACATAGTGCTGAAGTGTTGGTGTCAAAGTCAAATATTAACAGTAGTATAGGTATATGTGAATGTATGTAGAAATTTCATGTTGATTTATTCTTTTTACTGGAATAAATCTTCACTGGTAAGTTCCAGTGTACTTTGAAATGTACATTTGCCATTTTTGCTTTTCAGAGTTGTATTCCTTTATTATTTTCAGTAATTCTACACAAAAAGAGGTTCTTGTGTGGAAAACTGCTTGAATTCCTCAGAAAAGTGTTATTTAAATTTCCAAAATTCAAATAAACAGGACCAATTTTTAAGATGGTTCACTGTATTTATAAATACTATGATCTAACAGTTTTAATCAAATATATATATGCACCAAGAAATATACAAAGTGTTTCAGAAGGTATGTAACATCCCGAAGTCGAAAATTACATGACATATAGTTATTTTTGAAATGTTATTAATTGTCAAAATTGAATGCATACATATTTTAATACTTCTTATATGTCATATATTTTTGACATTAATTTGCAAAACTTACATAAATCTAATTTCTAAATACTTTAGGAATAGGGCAAAAATAAAATTAGTATCTCAATTGATATATTAATGTATTTAACAATAATAATAGATTAATAAAATAAAACAAAGAACCAGCCTATATACTGGTGTTGAAAAATAAACTAATATGGAAAATCATTTTGTAATAAATTCATGAAATTATAAATTTTACATGAATTGTATGGAAAATGTGCTAAATATAATTATATAATTTTATACTATCGTGTAAGATCAACATTTTCAATTAAGCATCCAATTTTAACAATGAATAATATAAAAGTTTGTGTCCATACATTATATAAAAATTTTATAACTTATCTCATACATATAGTGGTTTCTTTGTTATTTTAAGGTGTTACACATCTTCCAAAAGATTGTTTCACATCCACACTTCTTCCAGAAAAATATTTCTGCTATGTGTTATTTGAACACTTAAATGGAGTTGGCATGCACTACAAGAAAAGAAGGAAACATAGTTAAGTAGTTTTAATTAGAGTTTGAAGCATTATGGTAGCATATGAAGCATTTTGAGATATCAAAGAAATAATACATATGCATTTATACACAAATACATCATATACATCCATATGATTACGAAACATATGACTTTTTTGTCTGTATCAATTGTTAGCCTTTCATTATTGAAGATGAATTCTTATTTGGGGAAGTGACAAGACAAATTAATTTCTTTAATTAGATTTTTATATTTATTGAAATATTTTTTCTCGTGTTTTAAGTAATAATTAATAAATGTATTTGTTTTATTTACATTTATCAAAATATCAATTGGTAATTTGATAAATTTTAAAGTCATATTGATCCAACTATATACTTTTGCTTATATAAAGATAAAAGAAAATTTGTGTAAAACAACAATTGTTTTTGAATAAGATATTTGAAAGTTTATAATATTATATATAAATGCATATAATATAAATTGAATTCCATAACAAATTTTTATTTAATATGTATATCTTTATTATTAATTTAATGTGAGAAAAAAGTAAATAATATGATAAATTATTTTTGCATAAAAGTCTGTTAGGGCTAGAAGTAAAATATAATGAAACAATAAATTTGGGATTCATTTAATTCCAATGTTATTTATTTATATTTAATTTATTTTAGTTACAGTATATTTACATTTTATGTTTTACATAAAACCTAATTCTATATAATTCCCTTAACAAATGATACTTAATAATATTATTAAATTTTCTTTTCAATTTTTATAAAATAATTGCAAAACTGCATATAATTAATAATATACAGAAAATTTTGTTATAATAATTAATTAACAAATAAATATAGGAAAATATAACCACATGCCATAAAAATACTGCATATTACATAGTTTTATTTTTACGAAATCCTTAACTTCGGAATGTTACATACCAAAAGAACATTACATTAAAATATGTGCTTGAAAAATATGAAATTACTTTTAGTCAAAGAAAGTCGTTGTTAAATATAAATATGGTGTTTAGAAAACCAATTTATGAAAAATGATTACTTTAGAAGGATTCAAATAAAATATATTTACAAATTCTAATTTAAAGTATTGTTACAAGTTTTTAAACAATACATATTTTATAATACTTAAGTATATTGTATATACTTTCTTTCTGGTTTTAAACAATGTTTTGAATAGTATACAAATGTTGGGAATGACAAACATTCAATGCAAAATAACTTTTTTATAAGTAAGTTTTGGGATGAATTTTAGTTAAAGTATAAAATGTGTTATTATTTTGATAAAAATAATCAATTGAAAAATATTTTGATTTTTTATATAAATTGAATATGATAAATTAAAAAATTAATGAAAATGCCATTTCAATATTAAACAAACCTTTAAATTAAATAAGATATTTTATTTTCTCAAATTTGGTTTTTATGAATTCTTATTTTATTAATAAATACAGATTAAGATAATTAAAATGTTTAACATCCATAATTATTATAACGTTTGTAATTCCAAATTTTAAAGAATTTTTTTTTACTGCTACAGGTTAGCAGAGGGTAGCAAACCAAAAATATTTGAAGAATCAAGCGAAGATGAAGAAGAAAAGGAAACTCTTGAAGAAAGAGGTAAGAAATTATTAATTTTTAAATAATTTATATTTTATAATAATAAATGCGTAAGATTTTACATATATTTTAAGAATATATGTAATGTATATATGTAAAACTATGTTATATCTATTTAATATTTATACCTCATAATTGATTATTTGTTTCTGCTATTGAAATGACTCTTACATTATCATTATTATTATCCACATTATAATTTTAAATATAATAAAAAATAAGTAATTTAGATCAATTAGAAAAAATAAAAACAATCATTAAAGGACAGTAATAAATAGCAAAAAAAAATGTCAATGTATGTGCAAAAATTTTAGAAAAACGTAAAGCATTTGAAGCAAAGAGAAAACGTCATTACCAAGAGTGGCAAGTACTTCAAATGGCTCGAAAACAATTACTTGAACAGGATGAAGAAGATGAAGATGACGATAATGAAGAAAATGAAGAAAATGAGGAAGACGTAGAAAAAGATGACAATAATTCTTTTCCTTCTGAAGATCAAATTGATTTTGATGTAAAATTCAAGTGCATGCCATCATGTAATGCAACAAAAGGAAAGTGATATGGCAAAGAACGTTTATAAACAATGTTAACAATTATTTGATTAAAATTTGGAATTCAGTTATCTGACATTTTTAATTCATGTTAAATTTATTTACTATAATATGATAACTGATAGATGAATTAAATCACTAATAATCAAATAATAATGTCCATTTTAGAACAGGTAAATAATTAAGTTAATAAATTTTTGCAATTGACTGATTTACTTTTTTCCAAATAATTGACATATATATTAAACAATGTAATTAATTACACAACGAATTTACAATGGATTTATAGTTAATTACTTGCGTAATTAATTGCAATATATGAATAAATAATTAATATCCAACAAGTATTTTATTTAGTGATTTGTTTTCTGTGTTTAGTAATTGATTATGTATTGGTTAATTATTGCATTCAAATTAATACTTATTTTTTTGTTTCTATAATTGTACAGAATAATGAACATAAAATTACATGATTTTAAAAGTAAAACTACAAATTTTTTTAATTATTTGTAACAAAATCACAATATTTGTATATTTTTTTATTAGTGCTTTGAAAAAGGTTTAATAATTTTAAACTTCAATTTTAAAACTTTAATTATTAATTATCTAAATAACATAAAAACAGTAATAAATAGATACTAATACTTTATTGCATAAACTATAACCATTTATTTTCACACAAATTTTCTTATTACTATTCTATTTTTCAGTTTCTCAAAGAGATTATAAAATTGTTTCTATGTTATTTATTTCATATTAGCATAATGATTTGTTACATTTTTTTTTTTTTATTTATTTGAGCTAATTCATTTTTCCATAGAATATAAAATAATTTTATTAAAATTTATATTTATGGAGAAAAACAGGATCTTTTTTTTTAAACTGTAAGTTAATAATTTTTTTTATTTTTTGAATTAATTACATTGCTTATTGATATAGTTAATTACTGACACATGTTTATAAAATTATTATTCAAGTGATTATTAAATGTTTTATAAGATACTACATAATTAGAAAATGAGTAGTTCTTAATAGAAGATTTATTGGGATAATCAGTAGTGACAATTTACTAGATTTGATGAAAATTACATACAAGATAGAAAAAATTCCTGATCATAAAATATTTATATTAAATTATTGTATTAAATTGTAATAAACTTTCGTTTCATACATTGAAAATATCTCATTTTCTAATTATATATTACAATTTACATGAAACAGGGTGTTCTGTAAGGTATGTGCGATAAATAAGAGATTCTTAATTTAGAATCTCATTTTAAACATTTTCACATTGATATTATTTTTTTGTTTACATAGTAATATATATTATTTAAATACATTGTACCATTTATGTAAATTAATTATCCAGAAAAATTACTTTTTTATGAATAAAATAAATAGGATTTATACAATAACAGTTTTCCTTTCTTTTTGTCAGTACAAGTAAAACAATGTATATAACACAGTCAATGTGAATTTGTTTAAATATAAAACTGTGAATCTTTTATTTATAAAATTATATCTCCTTACATATTTTATTTAAATTATAACATGTTTTTCAGTACATAAATACATTAAACCCTTTGAAACTGTGACTAAAAATATAGATTATTATTTTTTAAAGTAATTTATTATTCTATTGTGAATTAAAATTTACATTAGATTTCTATTCTTATCATAATATAGTACAAACAACTAAGACTTCAAAAATTTGCAATTCTGTATATGTGAAATATATTATACATTAAAATGGAACGTTATTATTTGTATATATTTTCTAAAGTGACAGTTTATTATCTAGACAATCGAATTTATTTGTTGTTCAAACATACTTCCTATAATATGTAATAGGTATTTTTGTAGATAAAAAAAAAATTAGTTGTGCAAATTAGTATTAGAAAATTAGATTTCCGCCTGACATATGTTGTTCCAATATGTACTTTGCATTGTAAATATGTGTATTGACAACGAATTCAATGTACTAAGATTTAAATGTAGAACGCAATAAAACCATGAATTGGATACCAAATCAAACATTTTTTAAAAATTGATCATGGATATTATAACTAGCCTTAGTCTAAATAATTCAAACACAAACCTGAAATACTGTTTAACATAAATTTATTATAACTACACATTTGTCTAAATTAGTTTTACTTGAATTTATTATAAAAATATATTGCCTTAAAACAAAAAGTAGTAGCAGTATAAGTATTCAATTCTCAGGTTTGTTGCATTACTATAAATAAACTCCTACGCTTAATTTAGATAGAATACTCAAATATACAGCTTTAAACTTAAATTAAGATAGAATAAACTAGACTTCAATGAATAAATAAATCAAGGATTAAGATAAATGATTATTTTATGCTATTTTAGTTTTAAATAATAAATATACAGTGTAATGTAACTTAACAAACCATCCAATTATTGCATTCTGTGCAATAAAAAATATAGCAGATCTATTATATCATTATTATGGAAATTTAATATTCCTTTGGATACTTGATACTTTCAGAAAGATTTTATACATACATAAATATTGAATCATTAATATTTACAATATTAATTTAAAATACAGAATTTATAATATACAAATATAACATGCACAAAATCTTCATTATTATAACTAATATTTTAAGTTGATAAATTTGCAGTTTGGCGACTTTGCCCTAAACGCATCTATTTTTTTTCCGATTTTTTCACAAAAGGCTTTATTTGTGCCTTAATAAAAAATATAGATCGGGAGAGCTTGAAAAAATTACTAGTTTTTTGACAAAAAACATAAAATTGTTAAAAACTGCCGAATGCGTGAGTCGATCCCTATGATTTTTGAATATGTTGTAGAGGACGAGATTCTGAATACCTTTTATCTGAACAATAATTGCGGCTTGGCCTTAATTTCCGAGATATTTACAAATTTGTTCACACTACCGTATTGACTTCGCCTGTACGTGTACCGTGGACGTGTCAGATCGGTTTTAAAGGATTGCTTATCGTTTTCTTCTATAAACAAACCTCGGCGAGGGACAGAAACAAGACTGGTAGGCAAGCGTATATAACGGGTGGACAAAAAGATTAAATTTAATTAATTTCAGTAATATATCAATCTAAATTTTTTTTCACATGTTAACTAAGCTAATGTGGTGTCGCACTCGCTTCGGGTCGCAAGCGGCCTTCTGCTCGGCGACGACAACAGTCTAACCTAACTCTAATCCATTACTTAATTTACTGATTAATAATAAGATAGGTTTGGTTTAATCAAGTAATTCGGATAGGTTTCGGTTAAACTTATATCCTGGCCGGCTATATAAGCAGAAATCCAAAAATCGAATCTTTATTAAGTCTTTATTAAGGATTAAATCGGGTGATGGTTGGAATGGTGTAAGGGTCCACGAGTTTGAGAATGAATGTAAGGAATGAACGTAACTTTCTAGGCGTCAAGGAACATACTGATCACCCGTTATATACACTCGCCGGGGTTTGTTTATAGAAAGAAACGATAGGCGATCCTTTGAAACCGCTCCACGGTACACGTACAGGCGGAGTCAATGCAGTAGTGTGAATAATTTTTGCAAATACCTTGGAAATTAAGGCCAAGCGACAATTATTATTCAGATAAAAGTTGTTCAGAATCTCATCTTCTATAACATGTTCAGAAATCATAAGAATCAACCCACACATTCTGTAGTTTTTAAGAATTTTGTTTTTTGTCAAAAAACTAGTAAAAGCACATTACTTTTTCAAGCTCCCCCGATCTATATTTCTTATTGAGCCATAAATAAAGCCTTTCTTGAAAAACTGAAAAAAAAAACGCGTTTAGGTCAAAGCCGCTAGACTGCATATTTATCTTTGAGTTTTTTTTTTTCAATTTCCAGAAAATTGCTAGATAATATTTTATTTAGACACACCTTTAATTTTGTTACAAATATTTTCTTATACTGTAAATATCTTAACTTTTAATATTATGTTAATCAGTTAACTAGTTTTTGTATATTTTATCCATAGTTAACTCTTAATTAATAAAAAATATAGTTTTATACTTTCTAATTAATTCTGCACATAATTTTTTATTTCTTCATAAAAATTATTTTATCGTAACACTACAATGTTACAGTAATTCATATATTTATATAAAATTTATATATACTTACATTAACAAATTATTGAAAGAAAAATAAAATAATTATTTATTTTATATTGAAATATTTTGTAGTCTTTTTGTTCTTCCAAAATTAATAATTTAAAATTTAATAAAAATTCAACAAAAATAGACTTAACTAATATTATACGAATTCTATTCTTTTGCATGGAAACATACATATACTTAAAATTAGATCAAATGAAATCAATTATTTAGTATTATTATTTTATTAAATATTTGATAAGTAGACATAAAGGAATTTATTATATACTGACAAAATTTGTTTAATTTTGACATCTAGCAAAACGTTATTTAGAACAAAAAGAAAGTATGACATCAATTTCATATCCAATGCATTTTCATGTCATGAACAGTGGATTTTAAAAATTATTTACCATTTTCTCATTAATTTTCAACGTTACAATACCGATCCAACATAAAATGAAATTATGAAATTGTTAATAGTTTAAACTAACACTAAATACAAAGAAGATTGTTTCAAAAATAAAATACAGAATAGTATAAATATAGTGAAGAAATATTATTACAAGAATTAAAGGAAAGATTCAATTTATTGGAATATTCAATCTTAATTTTACTTAACTTTTAAATTCACATAAAAAGGAATAGATTAGGAAATTATAATGAGGTCTTATACAGTAATCATATGCAATCTCTTCTACCGATTTAATGTCATGAAGCAACAAATCAATTTCTTTTTAATCTGTTGAAATATGTGATTTCTTTAAATTAATAGATTACGTATATTGATTTTGATAAGTGCACTAAAATCTAAAGCCATATATTGCCTCACAATAAGGTTTAAACTATCTTAATATAAATATTAATATTAATATCTGCAATACGTCTTATGTACTTAACGTACAAAGAAACTATGTAGTATGGAATTAAGTGTGCTTATACAGATGATAATTGCTACTTTTTAAAGATTGCGCAATAGTACAGCAAAAAACAGTTTTTCTATAATAATAATTTACAATTCATTTATTTCTTTATTTCTTTCATAATCTTTTTTACTTAAATTCGATATTTTATTTCATATAACAAAATTACATACGATATATGTTACACTATACGTCGTTCGTGACTATTTTTTCAGTTTCCACATGTCTGTCGGTATGGCAGTTTAAGATCTGAAAAATATTTTCCACTTTTCTATCTATAAAAATACATTTATCATTTGTCTACCGAAAGATTAGTAATGGTACAGTAATCTTTACGAAAGTCTACTGAATTATTAGAATTAATCATAATTAGTATAACAGTATTAATTAAGCTTAATAATTGCTATGTTAAGTAAAGTGAAATTTGAATGACAATAACATTAAATAGTGATTTATATTACCACTTATTATATTTTTGCTAACAAGCATAGATTAATTTTATTATTTAAATTGTTTATTTCTTAAATTTTATCAAAACGGGGGCTGAACAGTCAATCATGTCCGTCTCTCAGATGGAAAGTATCCTTTTTTTAAAGTTTTTCGTGTTGTACATATTTTTTTAAATTTAATCTACCAGAAAGTTGTCTCATTTTAAGTTTTGTTTTTATTTTATAATGATTAATTTCATTTGCATTTTGATTATATATTTTTAAAGTAAATTGTCTTTTTATAATTTTAATGAACATTACCAATTTTTGTTTTCAAATAACATTATCATATTTTTAAGGTTACTTGCAAAATATTCTTTTTATGTTATGTATCATATAAATATTTTTTTACATTTAAAAATATTCCATTAATGAACAAAGATAGAATTAATTGTTTTCCTAAATTAATATCAAGGAAATTTATTTAATCTCAAATTTGCTGTGAAAGAATTAGAAAGAAATTCAAAGAAATGCGAGAAAGAAGAAAAGGTAGAGAAAGCAAAAATAAAAAAAGCTATTCAAAAAAGCAACATGGAAGGTGCTCGTATTCATGCGGAAAATGCAATTCGTCAACGTAATCAAGCACTAAATTATTTGCGAATGAGTGCAAGAGTTGATGCAGTAGCTAGCAGAGTACAAACTGCTTTAACTACACGTAAAGTTACTCAGTCAATGGCTGGAGTAGTTAAAGCTATGGATGCAGCAATGAAATCAATGAATTTAGAAAAAATTTCAGGTAATCAAATATTTACATTTTGGTACATTGTTATACATATTATATGTATTATAGATTATTATTATTATAGAATATGTATTTAATGATTTAATTTCTTACTATGATACTATATAATATCTAAAAAATAATAAATTAATCATTTATTTATGATAATGATGATTTTTAATAATACAAATTGCAGTTAATGTATTACAATTTTAATCTTAGGTCTAATGGATAAGTTCGAAAGTCAATTTGAAGATTTGGATGTACAAAGTTCTTACATGGAAAATGCTATGTCTCAAACTACAACAACTAATGTACCACAAAATGATGTTGATAGTTTATTAAAACAAGTTGCAGATGAAGCTGGGTAAGCATTTGTCTTATAATTATTGTACATAAAATTATATAATTATAGAATAAAATTCTAAATTTTAAAGAATAATACCAAAAACCAATCATAAAACAATACAAATTTTTATTATGTATAATCTTTTCAGCTTGGAATTGAATATGGAATTGCCACCTGGACAATTCAGCAGTATAGGTACCACTACTGTCAGCCAAGAACAAGATGAACTTACACAACGGTTAGCAAGACTTCGTGAATAGTAATACAGATATAAAAACTAGTTAGAAAACAGGGACATCATGAAAAGGTTATATGCTTATCTGCTATAATTTGCAGTTAACTTTTAATTTTTTGACTGTTATAGATGCCTATAAGCGATCACTGAAAATACTTACTATGTATTATTGGTGCCTACAAACACTTGATAATCTCTTATGCAATATTATTGAAAAGTTTAGTCCATTGTCTTTTTCTTTTGATACTAACAAATTTGAAGTTAATTACAATGCAATATACTATTTATTATGCAAGAAAGTGATTTTTCTAGTTTCACATGATTCATGAATAACAACCTATTTCCACAACTGCTTAGTACTCTGTGACTATTATTACTGCAACTCAGCTGTGCACAATGACCACTTTTGAATAATCAGTACATAAAGAGTTAAAAGTAAATGCATAAGAACATTCTTTTTATTTCGAGTAAATTTGCTAAATAACAATATAGAAAAAGTAAAATAAAGTCTAATTTTTATTTTATTTAAGTGATTTAATATCAATAACTACTTTAAAGGTTTAATAAAATTTTCTTTAGTAAACGGACTTTTTTTACTATATATTTATAAATGAAATAAATTTTTAATATTTTGTTAACGTATAATTAATTTAAATAATTCTGAATAAATAATTTAATAAACTTATGTATAATAAAAAAAAATATTAGTAAAACATTAAATATTAGTATGTGATTAATTTTCCAAAATACTGTAAGCATAATAGGAGTTAATTTCTACGATATAAACAAGAATATAATTTTATATAAAGACAATATATATCAAAGAAAAGCTTTATTATTGCAATACTATTGTACATTGTAAACATATTTCATGGTGGAATAATTTAAATGTATGTACTCTAACAATAATTTGTAGTAGAAAATGCTTTGTATTATATATATATCACATGTTAAATACACAATATCATATACATTTTATTATATATTTGTTTTATAAAAATAAATTTATATAATAAATATTTTACTTTTATACTGTTAATTATAATCAAATATAAAAATTACATCCATTTATGTTGCAGTAATATCATTAACAATTTCTGAAATATAATAAGGATATTTTTCTATCCAAATCGTATCAAAAGGTTCAGCCTGTTTCAGAACTACAACTTTTTCTGCATGAAATTCTGAATATTTAAAATAAATATCAATTATAATTGGAAATTTTCTACATATATTTTAATTTATATGAAAATACAATAATAAATTAAAAAGTAATCATATCTAATATAATAACTAATTAAACTTACCTAAACAATACTTAAAGGCATATGCAGTATCAATTTTGTTATAAGTCTCTGGTGAAATTAAATCATGAAATTTTATTATTCTTCTCTCATTCCAATGAATTTCCATCAATGCTAGAAATTCTCTTTTAGTCAAGTATGTCTTTGAACTATAAGAAAAAATTTATTTTTACTAAATATTCAATTATCTATTACCAGCATACACTAGATTTCTAGAACTATAATTATGCAAAATAAGATGGATAGCTGACCAAGAAAAAGAACTGGATTTTGCTTTTTTTTCAGTAGAAGATTTTTCTAGTATTTTTTCTCTAAAAAATTAAAAATATGTATATTGTATATAATATGTTTTAAAATTGAAATTAAAGTATTCATATAAGTTAAATAGACAATAAGTTATACCCAATTTTTTCTTCAAAACTTGTGATTTCAGGAAGTTCAATCATTGTTCCTTCAAATTCTTTTGTTTCTCTTCGTGGTTTTTCATTAAGTACTTTTGTTTGAATATTTTCTGTTGGAATTATCCTGTCTAATGTTTTAGATGGATCAGTTGTCTCAATTATTGCACTTACAATTTTACTTGATAATTCCCCTGTTTGATTCTGTAATTTACTTGAATTATCTAAGCGAAGGGTTTCACCACCTATAAAATTAAAAATATAAACATGTCAACATATCTTTTATATGTTTTTATATATATTATCCTATTTGTAGTTATTTTTCATTATATTTCAATAATAGTTTGTTTATGAATTGTTTTACATATTTATATTTTATTTTTGTATTCATTTATATTTTATTACTTTATTGAAGTAAAAGATATGTACCGATTGTTTCTCCTATTTTAAAGTCAAGCACATTTTCAAATTCATTTTGAACCATTAAAGGTTTGGTAAAATATCGATTAAAAAATTTAGTTAATGTTTTCCCCCATGATTTATTAAAAATTTTCATTGAGGGTTGTCTCAGATATTCATTTGCTGATGGTTGAATAGTTATAAACTGAGGCTGTTGCTAAAAAAAAATAAAAAAATAAAAACTTTATTTATAAATAATACAAATTTCAATACGTTTAGTTAACGATTAAATTATATAAATAAATAGGATTTTGTATTTATTCTCTAGAAAACTCAGCTTATTCAATATCAAATAACTTACTTTTGTATGTACTGTAATATTTCCGATACATTTTCGCATAACGGTATCGGTCAATTTAATCTGTTTATCAAATAACTTTTTTTTTCTTCTTGGTTTTATTATTTCGTTTAATTCTATATTTCTAAAAACAGACACAGTTTTTTGCCCTAATTGAAATAGTAATTCAGGTGCAAGTATTGGTTCGGTTATCAGTGCTGATGATGATTCGATTGGAAGTGGAGGTAACTCATTTATCGAAATTATCTGTAAGGCAAAATGTATAAAATTTAATTTATACAATTTGAAGTAATATTGAAAAATAAAAAATTAAAAATGATAAAAGTTTAATATATTTTTATTTTCTTCTTTGCTCAACATACTTTACTTTTCTTTGTAGGAGTTTCTATTGGAGAATTTAAAGTTCTTTTCTTAGGTGTTGTACAAACAAGTTTTTTAGCTTGATAATCTAAAAATAATATAATAGGAAGGTAGTATTTATAACAATAATTAAAATTTATCTATAAATAAAAATAATCATGTGTACTAATTGTGAATAACCTTCAACAGCAAGTAAAGATTCACGTTGATCTTTTCCAGCAGATGCTAATCGTGTTCCTCTCTCAGTTTCAACATTCTCAATTTCAAATTTATTAATATCATTCAAAGAAATTTGCATTGATTCATCAGGAATTTTTGCCGATTCATCCCAGTGAAATCTTCGTATTTCGTTTCTAAAAAATTAGTGTAAATAATTATATAAATAGTAATAACGGTAAAAAAAAAAGATAGTAAATATACTCGTTTATCCACATTGTAATAATATATAAAGATATACTCGTTTTCTTAACCATGCTTAAAGTTATTGACATTTGAGGTATTAAAATTTGAAAATATAAAGTATAGCGAAAATATAGAAAACTAACAAGGATAATTCTTCCACTCCTGGTAATATAAATTTCTCCATTTCATGATTGGATAGTATTCCGAAATTCATTTCATCTTGCATCTATATTTGAAGAATATAATATTATATATTTAATATAATATATAGTAAATTAAAAATAAGGATTTATTGTTGTAAATAATGCACGTAAAAATTTTTTTTATTACAAATAATTCTTTCTTTTACCAAGTGTTCTATTGCAGAAGTATATGGTTCTTCTGTAATTAAATGCAAATTTGATGACATTTCTAAATTGCGGAATACCTCATTTATTGATGGTACTTCCGGTAATTCTAAAGACGTTACCACATTAAACTCATCTATATGTCTGTGAAAAACAATATTTTTTATTTTCACTATTTCTTTCATAATAGTTTGTTAAATTAATGATATACTTAAAAAATATAGAATTTTTGAAAAATATGAATATTTCAAAATTTAGGACTTTACCTGTTTATTTCAAGTAATTTCCAATTTAGTTCAAATAGGTAATCTGTGATAAAAATAAGTGAAAAATAAATTTCTTTTTAAAAATAATCAAAATATAAAGAAAAATAATTATTACTATGAAATATTATGAAATATTATTTTCAAACAGTTAAAAAATTTATGACCTTGAAAAAATTTTGTCTGGTAAAAAAGTATTCTTGTAGCACCATACATTAATTGAGAAGAAAGGTAGAGACTAAATCTGCCGTAATTTTTTCCATTTCGTATTTCAATCGTAGATAAGATATCTTCACTAAAAGTGTAATAATGAAGAAATAATTGTACATAAATAACTATTTATTCAATATATAATCAATTTTATTGTCCCAGCAATGAAATAAAGAATCAGTAATCTTTATGAGTAGAATAATACAAAATTTGAAAACATATATGCAGTTGCAAGAATAAAAAAAGGGTCTTACCAAATAAGTGTTACGTTAATCTTTTTAATCAATGCTGGTTTGCAAACTTTCTTAAACATTTTTTCACTAAATGTTGCGGCTAACCAGCATCGTGCCAATTTGCCTTTTCTTCGAAGAGAAAGTAGTTCAGATGAATAAAACATTGTAAAAACGAAGAATTAGATAACAGTTTGAGGTAAAATGCAAATTGTTATAGCACCGTTTTTTGTTTCTACTAGATTCAACACCAGCGACTATTGTTAAACAATCGATTGATCGATTTTTAATAGCGCCCGCCATCTAGGAAGTTAAATATTATGCAGATATTAATTGCTATAGTATATTTGTATAATACTATTTATATAATACTAATAAAGTCATATTCGTTCACTTTAATTTCATTTCTTACTTTCTAGAAATGTTTTTGCATAACATTCTTTATATTAAGATACAATCTAAACCAAGATATATATTTATCATTTATATTATAGTATTTATTTAATTACTATAATAAAAGCTCTAAAATTATGATTATATTTAATGCTTTAATTGTATACAATAAGAATTAAAATGTTTAAAAGTAGCGCCCTATTTCATCTATGTGCACATGATTATGCGATTGTGGAAAGTTTTATATATATGTATGCACATATGACTCATAAGATTGTGTTAACATTTAAATAATTATTTTTTACTTTAAAACATTTTTATTATCATATTTTATCTGTATATCAAAATTTAGTCTGTTTCTTTTTGGTACAATTAATGTTTTATACAAATTTGTTAAAAATAAGCAAAAATCATAATTAAAGAAATTATAGCATATACAGTAAATTTGAATCATACACTTAATTTGACCGAGTTAATACTCTCTGTCAGTTTCAGAATAACCTCTATTATACTTCTACGTAGGAGCATGAGAGATTATATCAATTTTCTTTACTTGTGACGAGGACAATCAAGCAAATATGTTTTCAAGCGGACCAAATTATACGAAATTAAAGACGCATCTACGTTTAGCAATAAATCGACTAAAGTTGCTTGAGAAAAAGAAAACTGAACTTGCTCAGAAAGCACGAAGAGAAATAGCTGATTACATTGCCGCAGGAAAAGTTGAAAGAGCGAAAATACGCGTTGAACACATCATTAGAGAAGATTATATGGTTGAAGCAATGGAATTACTCGAAATGTATTGTGATCTTTTACTTGCCCGTTTTGGACTTATTCAACAAATGAAGTAAGTGCATTACACCAGTGATTAATCATTATTTTTACTGATTAAGTTTCATTGCTCAAATTTATACAATTGTAATTTTATAAAGTAACTGATATTTTGATAATAAGAAATAGTAAAAATTAATATACAAATTTTTAATTGTGGTACTACATTGCCTATTACAGAAATTTAGATGAAGGTTTAGCAGAAGCTATTTCTACAATAATTTGGGCTGCACCCAGAATACAATCTGATGTTGAAGAAATTAAAGTAATTGCTGATATTTTAACATCAAAATATGGAAAACAATACACAGAAGCATGTAGAGAAGAAGCATTACAAACAATTTCTGAAAAATTAAAACATAAAATGAGTGTACAATCACCACCAAAGCTTCTTGTAGAGAAGTACCTTATAGAGATTGCAAAAAATTATGACGTTGAATATGAACCAGATTCACAGGTAGAAATTATGAAATAAAAGCATTAATAATATTAATATTTATTTTTATTGTAATAGTAAATATATTATAATTACAATATCACAGATAATGGCAGAAGGTCAAGATGCTTTATTGATAGATGTTGGAAATAACACAGAACGAAATAATTTAGACACAGCTTCTGGTGGTGGTATACCACAACCAGTTGGATTTATTGGTTTTCCTCAGCCTCCACTATTACCAAATCCTGCATCTAATTTAATTGTAAGTAATTTTTTCTTGTTTAACTATTTTCTTATCACATTTGCATTTAAATTATTTCCTTTAGAATTCTGAGAAAGGACCAATAGGATTTGTAACTCCACCAGGGTCTTTAGAAAGTAAAGATCAAAATGTTCTTTATAATCCAACTAATGTGTTGTACAATATTCCTTTAGATAACGCCAACGGAAATAAACCTGTGAGTAATATAACATAAATCTTATTAATTAAGTTTCATGATGATTAATGAATTCTTCTGTATCAAGGAAAATGATCTGCCTCCACCATATGGAGCGTTTCCTCCTGATTTAAATAAACAGGTAATTCCATAACAAAGCAATTACAATCAATAAATACATAAAGAAAAATCAATAATATTAAGACTAATTTTATTAAATTTGTTAATATTTTATTTTTACTTCTAATTTTCCAATTGTTTTATTATTATTTATTATAGGTTTATTATTGATTTATTGTTATTTATTATTATAATTTTACAATATGTTATATATATTTATTACGTGTATAATATGTTCATATATGATTTTTTATTACAGTCTGACCAGAAACCGAAACCTCAACCACGTTCGAAAATGCCGATGAATGATTTTCAGCTTCCAGATTTGCCAGCTGTGCCTTCGGAGAATGATTTACCCTCAAATAATATGTTTACTGACAAAGACATTGATTTTGATGATTTAATGAAGCGTTTTGAAGATCTAAAAAAGAAAAAATAATTTGTTGTTTGTGTTAAAATGACATAAATATGTATATGTTCAAATTACAAATATATATGTGTAATACAGCAAATGCTGGTATAACTACAAGTAAGTACTATAATTTCAATGTTATACAATATCATAAAATTGAATTAATTCTTTATTGCCATATAACAATGAAAATTGCAGAACATAATAACATAAAAAAAGTATTATTTGCGATATTTTTTTAATTAAAACAAAACCTTATATATAAATTTAATTTCAAAAGTTATATCAATATTATAAAAATATTAACGCTTTAATATACTTAAGTAATTAAAATTCATCAGTTTGAGATTTTGCTTAATATGCATTTAAATATTTAATATGCAATTAAATGTTTACGAAAAAAATCGCATGAAAAAATTTGTAATTGTAAACATACATTCTATTGTAAATTTATTTCGGTCATAATTTGTTGTTTTATCGTTTTACAACGTAAAACGATATTTTTTTGAGTATAATACTATAATATTACTATATGTATTATAGTTACAATTGAAACATTATGAAAAAATTACATTAAAGAAACATCGTGTAACATTTTAACATTATTCAGCAATGCTATGATATTTCATAGATATGAATTACAATATTTTGACAGTTTAATAAAATTTCAAATATGACATTTAATATAGTTGATTGGTATCATATCTATACTTAGAAACACCTTGTACACGTGAAGTGTGAAAATACTCCGAAGTAAGATGAGACTAAATCTGTATAAAAAAATAATAATGTTCTTCTGCAACTTGTGGCAGTTGACATAACCAAGGTGCTTTTATTAAATTGTAGTGATAATTTGAATAACTTAGATACTTAAAATTATGCCATTACAAACTCTTTTTGCAAAAGTATAAGGAATAAGCAAGATATTGAATGTAAGTTGTTAATGGTATTTTATGCAACTTTGGTCAATGGATTATATGCTAAGATATACTAAATATTATCATTAATAAATAGTAATATCAAAAGAAACAAAATTTGAAATAGTATTTGTAAATATTATAAATAAATAACAATATAATTGTTTTAACGATAATAAGATTATTCTCATATTATTATTTTGCAGTATTGTAATTCAAATGTTATAAGACACTCTTTGTTAAATAATAATCCACAAAAGTTAATGTTTGTAGGCACTGTGATAAAATATTTACAAATTTTTTTTAATTGCTTCTGCTATTTTGTATGCATAAATAAATATATACGAATATAATATTATCATATATATATTATTTTATTACTTTTAAAATAGACACGATGAAACTGTGGTTGTTTTAATTCTCCCAGTCTTCACATTTCTGAAATAAAATGTGTTTATTTAAAAAGAATTATTTTTAATAAAATTAAATATGAATTAATTTAAAATATTTACTTGCTGTCCCTTTTCAGCCAAACATATTAATAAATTTTGTGAGAATTCACACTTTTCTTGTTTGTTTGATTCTAGATAATGAAAACATTCTATAATTGATTCTTCAATAAAGTCTTTCAATTCCAAATCTTGAATATTTCGAGTCATTAATGGAATTACTAATTCTTTTTTTGGAAATCCTTTTTGGTCTACCTATTGTTTATCAAGTAGTGATAATTATATAAATAAAATATAATGGTTCTTTATTTTAATTTTTAAATTAAGTCCAGTGGTACTTACAGCATTTAATTCATTGAAAAAACATTGTATAATACACTGCAGTAAATTAAAGTATTAAATTAAAAAATTAACGTAAAATCGTGCAGATAAATTACGATATATTTATATAAAATAAAATTCGTGATTCTTACAGCTTGTTCTTGATTAGTATTATTGTTAAAATATATATTTCCGTTATTCGTATCTCCATTACTAAAACCACTTTTTCTATTGCGTGAATCTCTAGAATTCCACGAAGTTCGATTGTTGATTTTACGAATATGTTTTACATTTCGAAAATTTCTATTTTCCTTAATTGAGTGATCGGATGAATAAATATTCATACCACCATTCTTATTAAAATTTCTATACCCACAAGTAAATTAATTAAAACGTATGAATAATTCCAACACAAGATAAATATAATATTTTATATGTAACTCGAAAACCTCTATAAAACTTTCTGCTCAATCGCGTAAAACTATGAAATATAAATTCCTTTTAACCCAAACTATTGGCCATATGTTTAGGTATGTTATTTTATCTCTGCAATTCGAACTCAAAATAATCTGATTATTCAAGTTAAAGTTAATTATGTGCAGTTAAGGGTAGCAATATACATATGTAGTGAATTAGTGAGATCGTAAAATCAGCTAGACATTAAGGTTTATATCTATGTTCGAAGACCGAAATATGTAAATTAAAATTTCTCAGGAGAGATAATTCGGGCGTTGATTAAGAACGTATAATATTAATACAAAATAAAACTTATTTGCAAATAATCCTCTTACAAGTTTGCATGTTGAATTTTTATTGGTTAAACTTCCTTTACTCGAAAATTTTGATAAATTGAAATTTCTATAATTCAAAGATTTTAGCTTTTCTTTTGAGGTTCGAATTTTGAAAGTTCAACTATATAATTAATAATTTTCATCTAAACAAAGCATTTTCAATGATCTCATTATGAATTACTTATTATTTAAATCGTACCTATATCTTTGATTGTTTGTAGACTGATTATATGAAGGTCTATCATTCTTTCGGTAATAGAAACTTGTATCATACACATCTTCAGGATTAGAGTTATTTTCCGAACTATCATCTTCCATAGATATAGAATCTTCTGCATTAACTGCTTTTAAATCGGCATAACGATTTCTGCAAGTTTTTAGTACTTTTTGAAATTGCACATCCATTTGCTGATTTTCAGAACGACATTTTAGAGACTGAAAAAAAATATTTTTTTTTTTATTTTAAATGCTAAAAATCTTTCATGTTATTATGATATTACAACTTTATAATCTTAAATTTTATTTTAATTTTAAATAGAACTATGTTTTATATAGTGAATAATAACAAAGAAAGAAAAATATTTTTTATTTTTAAAATTAACTTACGACTGCTTCGTGAAGAAAAAATAAAGTGATGCAATACAGGGTAAACAAAATCAAATTTTTCATGTTACACACTATCAACATTACTTCAAATGAATTTATAAATATTGAAAGCAGGTTCGCTTCCAGTCTAATATATAAATGAAATTAACAGGAAAACATAATGACGATAATTGCATGTCATTCCATCTTTGAAAAGAATTTGAATTCTGTGATGTTTCGGTGACATGACATATCCTGAATTATTCACTTCCGCTTAAACATGAATTGTGTAATTTAACTGAAGTAAATATCATAATTTTTATTGTCTTCTCAGAACTCTTTTTATAGTCAGGAAAACGTATTTCATAACTTTGGATAATACAGATATGTTTAGAGTATGTAGAATAAAACACAAATTACATTTATTTATTTTTTGTATATTAAAATGTAATACACAAGCATATATAATGTAGAAATAAAATAATTTTGAAGATAATGTAAAATATTTTAATATCATCTGAAACATCGAATAATGTCAATTGTAAGCGTAAAAGAAAATTGGAGGGGAGAATAAAAGAGAGAGGAAATAGGAAAGTGATCGAGAGACAAAAACAAGGTGTAAGACTGGACAATTTTAATATAGAATTGTCATTCTTCTGCGTTGGAAATACAAAATGTATATTAAGCTTCTTGTAAGTAAAAGTTTTAACTTACCGGAATTTATAAAATAATTTAGTTATTTAATTTTTAATGGTCCAATTTAAAAGTCATCTCTAGATTACTAAAGTTATTCTATTTTTATCTTCTTTTTAATTAATACAAATTTTTAATAACAAATGATAATATCTTTAAAATTATCGAAGAAATATTAAGAATTTTCTAATTACGTAATTACTCTAATTATGTTTTTTTTTTAAGTTTCACATTTTATTTAAGTCTTTCAAATTTCAGAACTTTTTTAAAGTTACACAATTTTTATTATAATCACATTGATATAATACAAACTTTTTCATTGAAATTTGTATAACAAAGTAACAATAATTGAAATAAGCTAAAGTAATAAAAATAGATTATGATTACATTTCATTACGAAAGAGCAATGAACTACAAAAAGGCGTAAAAACGGGACAAATAAATGTTGCATTCGTATTCCAATTTAATTTCATAACTTTTAGTCTTATAACTCAAAAATTAAATTAATTGAATCATTAAACATATTTAAAACCATGATCTGAAAATTCATAAATTTCATTAAAATTTATTAAAAGATGATATGAAAAAGTTTTTTTACTTTTTATCTTGTCTATATATGTATTTTTTTTATAAATTTATATAGTTTTTCACAAATGCAGTTCTTACGTTCGGAACAAATATTCCACTGGTCAGCAATCATCGATTGTATGAACAAGATCGGCAATTATCGTCAAATAGCAAATATGATACGAAACTAATAATGAGAAAAGATAATGATCAATTACGTCCACAAAAATCAAAAGAAATTGAATCCATAATGGATAATTATATGGGCATAACGAAAGAAGAAAATGTAGAACCTTTGAAGTTATTAGAAGATACAGATCGAATACAATTTCGCATAGAAGGTCATGAAGGACCTCAAACATATATTTTTGGTTTTGATACTGGATATGGGTAAATGCTTCAATCTCAAGATCGAATTTTATTTACGATTAAATTAAGTAAAATTAATTTATTTGAAGTAAATTAATGACTTAATTTTATTCTATTTACGCTATTGATATATAATATAAACTACTATAAATAAAAATAAATGATGTAATTACTAGCCGATAAAAATTTTACTTACCATCAATAAAAATTGGATTTATTTATTACAAACGCTTAATCTGGAATACATATACATTCTTATAAAACATTATATATTCCTAGAGATATTTAATTAATAATACATCATACATTTTTTTCAGAAAGAATAGACAATTTAGATTAGAAGAAAGGCATCAAGATGGTACAATAAAAGGACAATATGGTTATTATGATGCAAAAGGAAAATTAAGGAAAATTCGATATGTTGCTAGACCTTCTGAAGGATATACTGAAATACACCATGAAAGTAATGTACAAAATATAGAAAAATAACCAAAAATCACCTTTCTTTACTTAAATATTTTATATTTTGAAATTTATACTTTATTACATAAAAATAAATAAAATATTTACTAATTTAAATAACCTTTTTATTAAAAATTATATTAAATAAACTCAGTAAATGATATTGGAAAATTTAAACAAATTATTTCTTTAATTTTATATATACAATGAACCTTAAAAAACTAATTTATAATTGACTTAAAAAAAAAAAACAATTTGTAAGTTTAAATCATTTATTTAACAATAACAACAGTTATACAAGAAAAGTAAAAACCAAAGTTAAACACAAATTTGAATACACTAATAAGAAGAAGATTGATAAAAAACACATGTCTCCATATATATATTCATATACATACATGTATATTTCTATATATGTCACAATCAGATCCCAAAATTTATCACTACCCCATCTAAGTAGTAAAAACTAGCTATATCAAAAATTTTTCGTAAATATTAGTATTTACTATTTAATTCTAAAAATACCCAGATGTGTTTGACAATATCTATATTATTTAAAAATTTTTCAATTAATACTCATTCTGACTAGTTTAAATTATCATTAATATCATTGAAATACCTTCATTATTAAAACCCATTTTCTAGTAGAACAAAATACTATCTTTGAATTAGTCGAAGCTTGAAATACATTTCTTCCAATAAGAATTAGTTTTAATTAATAATATACAGCTAATTCTAGAATTAATTAGTCAAAACTAATATCGACAAAAGAAATTTGTTAGAACTAGTATTGAGTATGAGATCAAAGTTTGACAAATTTCAAAATTTAACTGTAATATATACATAACATTACAATTGTAATATAGTTCCATTTCCAAAAAAATTTGAATAAAAATATTAAGGTAAACTATATACCTTTAAGAAATTTTTATAACAATATGTAATTAAATTTGTGCATAATTGAACAATTATTTGTATAAAAGATACATTGTTTTAAACTAAATAAATAGGTCTAAACCAATATTTTAAAAACTTAATTTCTTTTGGAATGTATTACATTAACTTATATTACTTAAAAATTTGTATCTCATTAGAATATTTATTTTTGAAAATTAATAGAACATGTTTATATTATCTTTCTCAATATTTTTCGATTTAAAGATATATTTTAGGAAAGTTACTACACTCATTACTAATATAATTATTGAAATAAAAATTTTTAATTTTTTAAAATATTTGAATATTTTTTATTACAGATATCACTTTTTTGAAAGAAGAACTTAATCCAAATTTATAATATTTGTAAAACTGATAACTTGTTATGGTCAATTATTTAATGTAATTAAGAATTGTATACGACTCATTTACTTTTGTAAGTCAGAATAAACACATTTCTTACAGTGATTTGCTTGATGAAAATCTCGTGGAATACATCACGAAAATAATTTTACAAATATTCATTTAACTTTAATAATGTTGTAACTTTTGCATATTGCATTTTTGTTATTACTTCCTTATTTCTTTTTTATTTCGATTTTTTATCATTAATTCCATATGATGAACTATGACTTATTTTTGTCATTTTTATCATTTGACACATAAATAGATAAACTGAAATTTTTAAAACAAATATTAATATAATATTAATGTAATAGTATAAATTAATATAATATAAAATATAAATATTAATTTAAAAAATACCCGTAATAAACCATATATTATGCTGAAATACTTACATAGGAAGATAATACCCACACCAATTGAAAAATAAACAGCTGATGCAGGCAGGAAGAAAAGATTGATTAAATAATAAATCATTGGTACTAAAACTATCACTGCCCAGCAAACTGTATTAACCAATGAATAATATCTTCTCTTTAATATAATCTTATCTACTTTAGCTACCCCACTAGTTGCAAAAAAGTCACCCGTTTCATGGAAACTTTCTGCTAAACGATCCTAAAGAAAATAAGAAATAAGAACAATTTCGTTATTCATTTTACTAATTTTAAATAAAATCGCACTTTTTCTTCATAAAGTTTATGTAACCATTCTGCAGCACCCTTTTCATCTTTAGGTACTTTTTCTACTGGAATCCTGTTGATATGCATATAGGCCACAACTGGTTTCCCATATAATATACTTGTTATTGTTGGTTTATTAGGAGAGTCTGCCTTAAATTCTATTTGTATATCATAAATGGCACGAATTTTAGGTTCCAAGTGTAGTACACTTTCTGCAAAACCTTTTGTTCGTGGTATTAAGTGATATTTTAATATTGGCAGACCACTTTTTTTGGCAAACTTTTGACTAGCTTCTAATTTTTCTGGTGTGAGTCGTGTTCCCTCAGCAAATAAAACTAACTGTGAATGTTATTTCAAACAAACTAGTAATTTAAACATAACTTATATAAAACAAAAAGCTATAAAATTCAGTTGAAGATATACTAAAATGTGATTTAATTGCTATTTAAGAATAAAAATGACAATCAAATAATTAAAGTTAAATATATAATGTAAAAATTCTAATTACCCATGCACCTGTATAATTTGAAATTTCTTTAATTTGAGAACCAATTGTATTTTTGTCTTGCTCCCAATTTCTTTCCAAGAATAAACAATCAGCAAATTTCCATGACCAACCTAATGTTGGAATATAGCGTATTTCTTTTTTTACATATGCTTTGGTATTCTACAACATGTAAAATTTATTGTTATTAAGATACAATTATAATTAATTTCTAATTTACTTTTTATATAAAATTATTTATAATTTATGTATGTAACTAACACCAAGTATTCCAAGACGTTCACATAGCAACCATCCCATAACCCAATCTAGTTCATAAGAATGGTTCATTATTACAAATGCAGGTTCTTTCGCAAAATATTTTTCAAAAGTCTCTTTATCTACATAGATTATAATATCTGATCCAGACCACCACTCTGCCAAAAATACCAATTCTGAAAACATAATTTCATTTTTACAAGATTAATATTGCAACTAGTTTCAAACTACTTCCAAAAAATAATACATTACAATGAAATAAATTAAATTGAAGTAAAAGTCGAATCTTAAAATGACATATTTAAAATGACTTACGACAATGAAGACTATAGCAGAGATAATAAATAATCTTGCGATAAAAATATCTGAAAAAGGGTCTAAGGCCAAAGTACAAAAGACACTGGCTAAAATTAATTATCAAACCCGATGTAAAAAAAATTATAGCCAATATCATATGAATCATAGTCGATTGCTTCAACACTGACACCAATCCCATTTTTCACAATTTTTTGTATGTGCGTTTCATAAATATAAAAAATTCATATGTACATATATATATACACATATATATACATATCATATATATCTCTTGGAGATCTTCAACTTTGATATCTATAACAGAAAACTTAAAAATATAATACAAACTTACATACTGACAATAATTTAGTTTTGATTAATAACATAAAATAAAATATGTATCCATAGTACAAAAAATTAAGTTGCTTTCTCATATAGACATAATAATATATTAACTACATAAACATTATTTAAAAAATTCTTCATTTATTTATATACGAAGAAAAACCTTAAAAAATAAAATTCAAAAATTTATACAATTTATTGTTATTAATTCACTACTTGTTATGTAACAAATGTCAATGGTTATTGAAACAAACGCTATTTTCTTAAATGTACTTCCTTGTTTTCATTTACATTCATGTATAATTTTTTGAATATACCGTACAACCATATCTTATTAAGACAGAAAACTTATATTGGCAAAAATTATCGAATAAAAAGTAATATGAAAATCTTCAAGAAATTATCGTTATGAATAAAATTATATAATTCTACTATTAGAAAAAAATATATGTAAGATGTCAATTACCATTTCGTTATAAAAATATTAATGAGTAAGCAGTACAATTATCGAATAAATTTGGAATACCAAATAGCATGTGGCAAAATAAAAAATACTAGTTGGAAATAGAATATAGTTAATGAAGAAATACATTGTTACATTTAAGGAAAAAACTTTAATTTCAAAACTAGAAAATATAAAACATTTTAAAGATTTTTCATAACTTTACTTACTTGACTTAAATCATTTCTAAAACCTCAAAGCAACCACATCTCATATGTAAAGTGTCCAAAGATAGTAATGATAGAAGAATAAAATTGCTAGAAAGAGAATTTATACTTGTGCAACCATTAATAGAGAGAAATTAGGAGACACTGATTGGTTAACATTGATCAAAAAACATCAGTTTTTGCTCATTAGAAAATGAATATTATGAATAATAATCAAGCGAGTGTATATAAAAAATTCTCAATAGGAAAAATTAAATAAAAATCTAAATATGAATGATTAGCTTGTCACTGTTTTTTAGTTTAAAAAAACTAATTGCAAATTACATTATATAATATGCAATATTACTAGAATACTACATGCCAGTTAAATATAACTCTAGCCTGAATATATATTATCTAGAAACAATTCTACTTCTTTAAGACGGTATTATTACAAAGAAAGTAAAATTTGAATTTATTTCCATCGATAGAGTTTATTGTGAATTTATAAAAAATATAAGCAAATAAAATATTAACACTAATTAATTAATATATAATACTAATATATTTTTTTTTTTCAAATAAATTGACCTAATCAGAATTGGTATTTAAATATTTATTAATTGTGTTTAAAAATTAATTATTTAGATCATAATATTTTTTAGAAAATAACTTTTATATTATAAAGAAAAATAAAATCCCTATACGATTTAAAATATATGAAAATCACAGCTTCAATACAAAAAATATTTATTAAAATTAAAATTTCAACTTGCATACTATTTTTTAGTAATTAAAACTTTTATAAAAATAATAATCTTATCTTATTTAAAAATTAAAAAATATATACAATAACTATTTCTAACAATTGTGTATATTATACAGGATGTGTCTGTATAACGTGTATAAACGGGCAGGAAGTGGTTCCTTATGAAAAAATAAGAAAAATATACAGAATAAAATTTTTTCATTTTCGGTTTAATTCTTGAAATAATCGAGTTTAACAATCCACTTTTTATTGCATTTTCTTGAAGTTTACAATACGATTCACTAAGCGACGTATGTTTACAGGATAAATAATATATTGCCTTGTAGATAATATATAAACTGATTGCCTTGTTCTTTTATAAATAGCTGTGTTCGTTTAATTGTTACTTAATTACATAATTAGCTAATATTTTTGCTTCACACAACAATAGAAGAATCTTATGTACATTTTCTACGCGAAGAATTATTAAAATTATTAAATGACGTGCCTTATGCTATGAGACAACATATAATTTTTTAACATGATGATGCTCTATCACACTTTACCTGAAGAATAAAAAACTTTTTGCATCAGAATTATTAATGTAGTAATAAAAATATCCAAAGTCGAGACAAATTAACAGAATGAAATCTTGAAGGATGAACACGCGTTATCTAAAGTTTATGCATAATTAGATAAGGATAGTTATGTATGTGCGAGAGAAACAATCAGTTTCAGCAATTTTGCAATTAATAATAAAATAATAAACATAATAAAATCTATTTTTTATTCTGTTCAAAATGCAATAATTTGTTAATATCATGTAAATATTATAACAAATATATTGTTTATTCTGTAGACATACCTCGTTTTATGAATCGTATCGTAAGCTGCAAGGAAGAACAATAAGAAATGGATATTAAATAAGGATATAAAAAAATTGTATTCTTTATATTCTTATTTTTTCATAAAGAACCACTCCTCAACCGCTTGTATATGTTATTCAGACGCACCCTGTATAATAAATGCTAGGTAATTTTTATTTGTATTAAGTTGATAGCATTGTATTATCTATTGGCCAATCAGCGCTAGTCTTGACACGCCCCTTGAATATTCGTTTTCGGTGACTGAATGCGGGTCAGAGGGTAAACAATTTCGATAAATTTTTCATTGATTTTGTAATTTTTATTAATTAATGCTCTGAAAAGCATTTATAAAATTGTCTAACCACTTAAAATGGTGAGTTTAATATTTTTATTCAATAATTAGAACGTTATATTTCTTTGTCAATGATGTTATTCAAAATCAGTGTTAAAATCTTGGTAGTTTTCAGTATGATATAATCTAACTTTATCAAATTTTTTCTTTAGAATTAAATTTTTGCTAAACTATTGATAAAGAAAATGGTTGTTTCTTTATACAATACTAATATGTTCTAAAATTTTTATCTAACCTCAAATAAAATAAACGTCAAAATGGCGCCACTCACTTACATACGTGGAAATTTTAATTATTTGAGCCTTTGCAAAAAAATTTCAATTTATTTATATTTTTTCTTATACTTCTTAACGTATATAACTTTTTATTAATTTATTTATATAAGTATTTAATCATATTGCA